TGGAATATACTGACGGAATGAATTTGAATATCAAGAAGTTGTCCGTCGATCCCTTTGAACGGCGTACGAAGCGAGCCGTGAATAATCCGGCAACAATCTCCCGCAGCGAGGACGTATCGGAGGAACAGGGCGAGCTGAACGCGAGCCGCGTAATGCAATTATTTACATACGCATCCGGGATTACGGTCGCCCGGAGTCGATATTGCTTCTCGGATTGGGCAAATATCATTCTAGGCTCCTCTGCTCCCCTCTGGCTACCCTCCTCGATACGTGGCCGGCTACTCGTTCCCGATAATTGACACACTTTAACCACGTTTGGTAGCGATGTAGGAACGCGAAATCGCAATCGCTCGTGCGTGTCCCCGATAACTCTCTAAGCTGCGAAATCAATTTGATACCCCTCGCCTGGTATCTTGCGCACCCTGATTAGATTTTCGCGTATTTGCCGGGGGCGCGTGGAATATACAGGTACCTCAAAACTGTCGTTCGAGAGCGCGTTACGCGCTTGTGAAGATGCTCGTCGAACTTGTCGAGAATTATATTATTTCACTTCTCATTTCATTTCTTTGCGTTATGTTAGACGAGAGCATTGTTTGATGTTTTTTGATGTTCGAAAGGACGATGCAAAGCGAAAATGACGAAAGGACTTACCTGACTTGCCGCCTTGTCAGTTTTAATGCCGAAGAATCGATGTCCGGTATCCGGTGAACCGAAAATATATCCGAAGGCTCTCGAGTCGCTCATATCTTGGGCGATAAACGATATTTTATGCACTGGATGATGGTACAGGCAGTCCTGCGGAAGGGTGTAATCATAAATTATACTATAAATCGATCCGCGATATCCAGCTGCGTGAATAATTTCGCTACTCACCCCCGTCTTTTCGTCCCTCAAACGAAGCCCGTCTATGCTGACCTGAACGGCAATTCGTTGCTTGTGCTCACCGGCGGCGCGAATCGCCATCTTCAGGTCAGCCAAGGCCGCCTGGCACATTCGGTCACCGCGCGCTTCCGATACCTCCAGAATGCCGATCAGCTTCGCCTTAAACGATACGCCCTCCCAAGAAACGGGTTGGGTCATTCTTGACTGAAACCAAAATATGCACAATTATTTTATCATTCTACTAACTCTAGTCTACCAACCCTAGTCTATTAACTCTAGTCTACTAACTCTCTCAATCCAATTGAAAAAGGAATGAAAAAGTACATGTAAAAAAAAAAAAAAAAAAAAAACAATAATCTCGGTTTGCACTTTTACAACTTATGATCAAGTTCAACAACAATTGTGATCAAAATTGTTGCGTGTTTTTATAAATATCTTCGTTGAATTGAAAATCAAGATTGCAGCAAGAATGCTTGGAACAAATAAAATTTTATTTTTCATCGGCTTAGTTTGCTAAAATAAAAAATGTTTATATTTCTTGCATGGAAAGAATAACAAAGTGAAATTTCTTCGCTTTGTTACAAAAATAGCCTACATGCAACATTGTAAGAGAATCGGGATATATAAAATAAAATATGTAAAGGGCACACACGATCTGGTCGGGAAAGTGTCGCCTGTTTGGGGAATACGATACGTCAAGTTTAAGGTCGCTCTCGATTCATTCCGCACGGTGAACCGTCGCGGAAGTAACGCGAAAATACGAAAGCCCGGGGAGCGTTCATTGTAACATCGCGACGTGCGGGCCCCGTTCAGTCTCGCGTGAGGGAGATTTCCATCCAGCGCCCGGCAGATCGAATTATCCTATTTGGAGCCGCGGGGAGGCGGGCGAAGCCTGGAGGAGCGATCCCGTCGGCGATAGGTCCGAACACATTAAATCGAACACATCGATCGGTCGTACAATCAATTTGGACCGGCGGGACCATAAAATGAGAGAACTCGACTCTCAAGTGCCCGCTGAGAACGCGGATCTCCCATCGGCGATGATCGGCGTTAAAATTAATGGCTCGGAAACCGATAATTGGGTCGGTATCTATTTCGTAAACCGCGATGATAACCGTACATGTTCACTCGTTACATCCGCTTTTGGAGAACGAAATATTGTTTTCCCAGCGTCCCGAAGTGCATCCGATAACATTTGACAAGTGGATTAATGCCGGTGATAAATATTTGAAGCGATGCGAAAACGCCAGAGTTGCATTGCCTCGTTATAACTTCGTGGCTTCGGTGTAATCAACAAAAGTGCGATTATGTAGCGCAAGTTATAATGAATGTAACTAATTCACAGCGTGGCCTCGTAAATATCAGTGAACGTAAATAACAGTGCGTTATTGTTTGCGAATAATAATTGTATTAGCTTTGCCGCGCGAGATAGCGATCGATAACTTTGGCAGTGGAAACTGCGTGCAAACGGGAACACGATAAATCTGTCGAAAATCCAAGTAAGTGTAGAAAGAGCGTAAAAAAAAAAATATGAACCGAGAGGCGTCTACTAAAAAAAAAAGAACAGAAAGTTCCTCCTCTCTTTCCTTTCCTCTCTCTCGTCAGACTTCTCGCTGCGATTTAATGACCGAAGGCTGCCGCTGCGTTTGTTCGAAGGCACTCGTAGGCTTCGAGTGGAGAACGCCAACTGTCGGTACTCGAGAGTATATATACACGTCCGGTACCAATCCGGCTTTTCATCAAGCCTCCTTCCTTTCTGCTTACCGCGCCAGATGCGACCTCCATCGCATAACAATTCTTGGCCCCGATGTGTCCCGCACCTCCATCCCATAACAATTATTATTTGCGGCTCGCGAGATGAGACGCGTGACAAGATGGAGCACTCGGACGGAACGAGAATCGACATTGACACGTCTGACTGTAAAATCTTTTATTATCGTGAGAGACTTCTCATTGGAGGACTTCTTATTCCATCCTAGGAGGACAACGACCCTTTATTCTTCTTTGTGCGGTTTTCTTTAGACTAGGCGCACATTGGCAATTTTTATAACTGCGTTGTCGCTAATGTCCTTCGAGAATGTCGTGACAGAAAAGTTGCTCGAAAGCTGTCAAGTGCACGCGATCTTATATAAAACAATGATCTGAAATGACGATTAAATTGAAATGAATTAAGAAAAAATTGCTAGTGCACATCTAGTCTAAGAAAATATTTTGATCTCGACTATCAAAATTTAATAAAAGTTTCGAATATCTTCGAAACTTTATCAGATTTCTTCTGATCTCTTTTTTATCAACTTTTGCGAAGCTAAGCTATCTGTATAGCCTGTGTACTTCTGCGATAAGAAGATATATGACAATGCAGCAACCAAACGTAGCGGAAAACTCGATGCGTTGCCGTGAAAAAATTTTATCGCGACTACCCTTGACATTTTCGTAAAAAAACTCGAATCGAAGAAGTCCAAATTTAATTTGTTCATATTTACAGATATTCTATATTATGTAGTCTATTTAAGGGAAGATCATAATTACTGTAAAAAAAAAAGTAGCAACTCGTGATCAACTTGTGTGATAATATTAGAAAATCAACCACAATCGAGGAACAAATGGGAGGAATAATAAATTGCTATCATTAACGTGACTCATCGAGAAATCGTCTAGGAAGTGTATATGTAATGATCCCGTGACTTTGAGTCTCACAACTTATTTAGAATTTTCCCATTTTTCTCTCCTATTTATAGTTAATATCTCCTTCATATTTCACGAGTGTAACTTAAAAATTATTAACCGCTCAGCTTAATATATAAATGTTATATGTATATTGACAGAATACAAGTCGATATATAGGATTCCAAAACAACGCGTTGACCGTAAGCTTCATTGGAATATTTTTCAATTAATTTCCATAACGAAGTCTCACGGTTTCCCCGCGGCATTCTCTTACGACTTCAATTATGTTAATTAATATTTAATCGAATAAAAGGATAAGCGCGTTTTCGCGCTGTCTTCTGAAACGGCTAGTAGTAATCTAGCACACGCGCACGACACAACTGTCTACATCTATCGGTGACAGCCATCATTAACTTAATATCAGTCGGTTGGTAACTTAGCGCGCGCCCGCGGATGCGAGGGGATTCCCAATTTTCCGCGAGCGAATTCGCGGTGGTTTCTCCCGGAGTTTTCGCGTCATCAGACGCGTCAATCGCGCCGAATCGTGGAGACAATTTCGCGAAATTCCGCGAAGCACAACGCATGCGGCGGTCGACCCCCTCGAATACGCGAGCACGAGGAAGCCATATTACAGAGCGCCTCTAACCACCCCTAATGGATTTACAGGGTGGCACCAGAAGCACCCGTTGTGCACCCATCGGGAACGATGAGGATGACGCGTAAACTCTTCGAGATCGCGAGCGATTTTGCAGAATACCAGGCACGCGAGGGTACGCGAGGGTGCGAGCTCTCACTCTACTCACACTTGCACGGACTGTTTTTTTCCGTAAGGTCTGCATCGGTGGTCCCGCGTAGACGACGGCGAGGGAGAGAGAGAGAGAGAAAACCCTGAAGAACGGCACCAAGGGAACGACGAGAAATTTTTCTTTTATGTTTCTCCTCGTTCGTCTCTCACCCCGCGCCCTCACCCGCGGCGGAGCCGGTCACCCAGCCTTAAGGCGCACCCTCGTACGTCGGCACGGTCGGGGATACGATCCTCAGCACGGACACATGTCGTAAGCACGTCGGTCTCCCTCTGTCTCCCTCCTTCTTCCTGTTCTCTTCGTGCCCGCGCACCCCTCCTGATCGTTTCCCCTCGTCTCGTTCTCTCTCTCTCTTTCTCGCTCGATCTCTTCTACCGTCTCCCTCTCGCAACCACTACCCCCGGCCAGCGTCTCACCCTCCGCGCCGTGTATTTCCCGTATGTCGTAGGCAACGTAAGCGGCCGAGAGACAGGCGGCGCGTATATCACGCGTACTCGCGCGTATGCGTCGTCGTGCACGCACCACCTATATCGCGACGCACCACCGGTCAGGACGGGACGACAGCAGCAGCAGCAGCAGGATCGCGAGGATCGCTCCGCGCGCCGCTGTCTGGCACCGGGGACACGGTTCCGCGCGCGCGGCGGCGAGCGCGTGTATCCGCGCGCGCGACGTAAAAACGCGGAGGAAGTGACAGCTGCCTCCACCGTGCCGCCGCCGCCGCCGCCGCCGCCACCGCCACCGCTACCGCCACCGCCACCGCCACCACCACCACCACCGCCGCCACTGCCACCGCCACCGCCACCGCCACCGCCGCCACCACCGTCGCCGTCGTTGCTGCCGCCACCGCCACCACCGTCGCCGCTAC